CGGTGCCGCCGGCGGACACGCCTCCTTCCTCCAGGCCCCGCCCCGTAAGGGAGAGGCCCCGCCCCTTTCCAACGGGAACTCCGCGGCGCAACGCTCTCTAGGCGGAGAAACCACGCCCCTTCGGTCAAACCCACGATCCCAATGCAGGCAGAGGCCACGCCCCCGTCCAGGGAAACTCCACCCCGTGGCTAACAAACCACGCCCCTTCCACGTTAGCTCGGAGACAGGGAGCAAGAGAAGGGAAGCCCCCAACACCTCCCCTTAGACACAATAACCCCCCCCTTCGGAAAACTCCTCCCCTTAGACACAATAACCCCACCCCCTTTGGAAAACACCTCCCCTTAGACACAATAACCCCCCCCTTCGGAAAACTCCTCCCCTTAGACACAATAACCCCACCCCCTTTGGAAAACACCTCCCCTTAGACACAATAACCCCCCCCTTCGGAAAACTCCTCCCCTTAGACACAATAACCCCACCCCCTTTGGAAAACACCTCCCCTTAGACACAATAACCCCCCCCTTCGGAAAACTCCTCCCCTTAGACACAATAACCCCACCCCCTTTGGAAAACACCTCCCCTTAGACACAATAACCCCCCCCTTCGGAAAACTCCTCCCCTTAGACACAATAACCCCACCCCCTTTGGAAAACACCTCCCCTTAGACACAATAACAATGGCAAAAGACAGAGGCTGGAAAAGTGCAGTTATGTGGATTCCTTGAGCCTGGGGCATCTGTCTGGGAGAGGGGACAAGAGGCAGAACCAACTGCCGGGTTTTCTTGTATTTAAGAGAAGACTCCAACTCCAGTGGTCAGCGTGTGACCCTATGGCTGATCTTGCAACACCCTCAGTGCTGTGGCAGCTCACACATTTTTGGACAAGAGTGTTACTGGTCTCCTGTCTGCCAGGGAGCCGAAAGTGATGTCTTTTCAGAGCGGAAGCCTCACTGGTAAAGAGTTTCTCACCAACTCCAGGAGCCATTGCTGCCTTCTAGATCCTGGCCCAGGCTCAGCAGTCCACTTGACCAGAGATGTCACAGCCTTGCACTGGAGTTCCTTCCATTGGCACAGACAATAATCCAGCCCAGGAACTGGAGGACAGGCCCTCTGCAGTGCCTAACCTCCTGGCTGTAGAGACCAGCCTCTGGCTAGAGAACCTAGATGTCATGTTCTAACAGAGAGGGAGAGGTTATAATTAATTATTATTTATTAGAAGGGGATCAGCAATTTGGCTACCCAACTTGATACACTTTGAAGGGAGCTGATTTTCAAAGGGGTGACTCAAGTCAGGCCTCCCACAACCCCGAGGCTTGCCAAAGTACTAGGCCATGGGAAAATCTTGGCTGGTGTATTTCTAGCCATAGCCTGTGACACAGAGGCACGTCTGAAGGGGCACGCTCATGTTAGACAACACCTCTGCTTAGCAATGCAAAACTCCCTCTAAACTTCTATGTCCTGCTGCATTTTCACCAGTTATGCCCTTTTGCTTTGTTCATTTCTTTCAGTGGACTGCAGATTAGGCTTGTCAGTTTCATGAGTAGGTCGTTCATATATGGATCACGGCCCCAATCCTGGAGTGGGGTCCACAGGTCCAGAGCTCATTGCAGGATCAGGGTTTACCAGCTTCTGCACCCAGCCTTCCGCTACAAGGGAATGTTTCAGTCCAGCTCGAACGGCTTTCTTTTAAACTTTGATCAAATACAAAGATTAACTCATTTCTATTCAGACCAGGGGCTGTAAAAAGGGGGCTTGTCCTGGTGGCATCAATTAAACATTTTTCCTTTTATTATTTATGGGCCATAAAGGTCCCAGACAAGCTCAGAGCCTCATCACGGTGGGTGCTGCACAAATCCACGAGCGACAGCCCCTGCCCCAAAGAGATTCACACAGCCAAGTTCTCATCTCTGCTTTGCAGCTAGGGAAACCAGGCCCTGAGAAATGAAGTGATTGGCCTAGGGCAGAGGCTGGGAGTGGAACCAGCTGTCCCACGTCAGATGCCCCAAAGAGCCATTTTCCTTGAGCACAACCACCAAGCTCAGCCTGTGACCCTTCTAGGTAGGGCAGAGATAGGATCTAACCACAGAGACCCTTGTGCTAATAGTGCAGTGCTGAGCTGGCTGCCCCACGGGAAGCGTCAGAAAGGAGAAGCGAAATGCAGAAGCGCAGGACCGAGGTCTCCCCAGGACACGCACCCAGGAAGATGACGTGAGCTCCACGCTCACACTGAACCCTACACTTGCTGGCATGCCCACAGAACCTCCTCGGTAGAGTCTGTGAAGGGGACCCGTTCCACTTGCCTCCTTCATGCAGGTGAATAATCATCACCCCTCCTGGCCTGCAGCGCCCCCTTGGGGACAGATGCAGAAACAGAAGCCTGGAGCACTGCAGCCTGGCTCTCAGAGATGCTGCGGGGGGGGGGAGGAGAGGGGGGCAGCTGCTCTGAATTCTGGGGATGGAGCGACTGGCCCGGGCTTCACAACGAATCAATGAAGAGACTCCGGGTCTTCCGCCCCCGCGCTGGTGAGCTAACACTAGGAGCTGCCACCTCGAGCGCTTTAGTCGCTGTCCTTGACTCCTGGGGTGGAGCCGCACCCTGATTTCCCATGACAGCGGAGTCCCCCGACCCCCTGCTCTTTCTACATCCCCAGCACTAGCGCCTCCGTTGTCAATCCGTGCCCAGGGTGGGCAGCACAAGAGTGGATGGAACCAGCTGCTTTAGCAAAGCCGGCCGGGGATCAGAGAGGGGGAAGACCCTTTGCATTTCGGTGGTGCCTTTCGTGCTCGGGGCTCAGCCGATATTCATTGCCTAGGCCTCACTGCATGCCAGGCAAGGGCCAGACTGATAACCCCTCCCTTCCCCCCCCCGACACTGTGCCAGGCAGCCCACGATACCTTACCCAGCGCAGCCATCCCCACTGGACAGAGCAAAGGTGCCAGGGCTACTCAGCAAGTCAGGGCAGTGGACCCAAGCTCTAACTCCCCATCTTGCCCTGGAGCCGGCTGCCTGCCATCTCCCTTCCCCACTTCCTGAAGCATGGCTGGTTGGTCAAAGGTTCCCCAGCTTAGTGCTGACCCAGGCCAAGCCTGCTGGTTGCCTAGCACGTCCCTGTGAGTCACTTCCCCTGCCTGGGCCTCCATTTCCCCATCTGCAGCATCACGTGTGTCCCCGGGCAGCCCTTCTCAGCTGTCCCCATCCAGCTTTGTAAAGTGCACTGAGATCCAGGAGGAAAACAGGCTGCAGAAGGGAAAAGGTGCATTTATGTCCGGCCGACGGGCAAACTCCCTCCAGCGCAGAAGAGTCTCCTTGAGACCCCAGCGTCCAAACACAACCAGAGCTGAATCTGGCTTCCTCGTGCTGGAGTCAACTTATCTGCAGGCGTGTGTCGCCCTCTCTCGTCCATCTTGCTCAACTGCAAAAGCCGCTTCCTGCCCACTGTGCCGTGTCTATGGATTTAGCCCCTCACCCAGTGGGTTTGTAGGGCTCCCAAAGCAGACCCAAGAAGAGCCCTTTGACGTGATGTGAAGGAGGAACTGGGAAGAAGCGAAAGACCCTGAATTATCAATTTTCCTGGGTTCCTCCCACCCCTGGGGAGAAGTCTAAACCGCAGAGGTTTTACATGGTTCACATGACTGTCTAGGGCTTTGTATAGTGCCTCCCACCTTGCTGGCCCAACTGAACCCCAGGAATAATGGGGAGCAAGGTGGCTAGCACAGACCTTGGGGTCAGGAAACTGGATGATGTTAATATGGATGCGTTCCCTTGACTTAGAGCCCCAGGAACTACTGGGGAGTAATTAGTTCGAATGACTCCAGGGAGTCGCTATTTCGAAATAGCAGCACTGGAGCGTCCACACTGCTGCTATTTCAAAATAACTTTCAAAATGAACGTTATTCCCCAAGGAAAGCAGGACCAGAGATTTCGAGAGAACGGGTGTGGCCGTGCGGACGCTCTGCTGATAAATTCGGCCTAAGGGGAGTTATTTTGAAATAATGCCCTAGGGTAGACCAGGGCTGAGGATTTCAGTAGGACACCAGAGCCCCTTGCACCGAGGCAGCTACAGGATCACAGCATGTGATTTCAGTAGGACACCAGAGCCCCTTGCACCAAGACAGCTATGGGATCACAGCATGTATCTGCGTGGCTCTGACGTGCTCTCTGGAAATCATGTAAACACTCTAGCCCTCCCCCAGTCTGCCAGGGCGGGGCAGGCACCACAGTACAACTTTGTGTGCTCAAATCATGGAGATAGCAGAGCTGCTCCACTGAGCGCAAGCGGGTGTAATCCAGGAGTGGGGGGGGCTGGCCGGCAGTGGACTCCCTCCAAAGGCTTTAGCTTAATCTAGGTGAACCCTGCTAGTCACCCCCATGCTGACAAGCTTACCCCAAGATGAAATCCAATAAAGACAAGTGCAAAGTGCTTTGCTGGGGAAGGAGAAAAAAAAATCAAATGCACAGCTCCCAGGTGGGAACGACGGGCTAGGTGGCATAGTGCTGGAAAGGATAGGGAGCAACAGCGGATCGCAAATCACAACGTGAAGGAGGCTAATACCATCATGGGGAGTATTAACAGGAGAGTCGTATGTTGGGACTGGTTCTGATTTGGGCAGGGGGCTGGACTTGGTGACCTCCTACGGTCTCCTCCAGCCCTATGAAAGTCAGTTTGTCCCACTCTAGGTCTCAGCTGGAGTACTGTGTCCACTTCTGGATGCCACCCTTCAGGAAAGACATGGACAAATTGTAACGTGACCAGAGGAGAGCAAAGATAGATAACTGGCTTAAAAAACCCAACCTATAAGGAAAGCGTGGACTAAAGGGGGATACGATAGAGAGTTATAAGTTCACGACTGGTGTGGCGAAAGGGAATAAGGAAGAGTTACTTACCTTGGCACATATCACCCAGACGAGAGATCACCCAATAGTATTAATAGGCAGCTGGTTTAAAACAAAACATGAGGAAGCTCATCTTCACACTACACACAACAGACCTGTGGAACTCCTTGCCAGGGGATGCAGTGAAGGGTAAGTTCATGGAAGCTAGGTTCGTCAATAGCTATTGGCCAGCATGGCCAAGTACCACAACCCCATGCTCTGGGTGTTCCTAAACCAGAAGGTGAGGCTGGACAACAGGCAATGGATCACTTATTGCCCTGTTCTATTCAGTCCCTCTGGCGTGGGCCACTATCAGGAGATAGGACACTGAGCTAGATGGACCTTTGGTCTGAGCCAGTCTGGCTGTCCTAATGAAAGGTTAGAAGAACTGAGTGGCTATGGCTACACTGAGTTTTTCTGCAAGAGACAATGCAAATGGAACACAGATTAGCATTTTCCCATGCTTCATTTGCATACTCTTTCGTTCTGTTTTTGCGCAAGGGGTTTTTGCCTAAAAACAGGCAGTGTGGCCATGGCTGCTTTGTGCAAAAATTCCTTTTTCTGCAAGATCCTTATGCTTCTCCAGGACAGGCATAAGGATCTTGCGGAAAAAGGTTTTTTTTTGCGCAAAATGGCCACGGCCACACCGCTTGTTTTTGAGCAAAAACCCCTAATGCAAAAACAGAATGAAAAAGAGTATGCAAATGAAGCACGGGAAAATGCTAATCCATGCTTCACGGCTGTGTCTATACTGGCAAGTTATTCCGGAAAATCAGCCGCTTTCCCGGAAAAGCTTGCCAGCTGTCTACACTGGCCGCTTGAATTTCCAGAAAAGCACTGACGATCTAATGTAAAATCACCAGTGCTTTTCCGGAAAAACTATGCTGCTCCCGTTCGGGCAAAAGTCTTTTTCCGGAAAACTGTTCCGGAAAAGGGCCAGTGTAGACAGCACAGTAGTGTTTTCCGCAAAAAAGCCCCGATGGTGAAAATGACGATCGGGGCTTTTTTGCGGAAAAGCGCATCTAGATTGGCCAATCTAGACGCGCTTTTCCGAAAATGCTTTTAACGGAAAACTTTTCCGTTAAAAGCATTTCCGGAAAATCATGCCAGTGTAAACGTAGCCCATTTGCCTAGGCTCTTGCGGAAGAAGTCATAGTGAAGACGTAGCCAGTGTGTTTAGTCTTCAGAGAAGACGACTGAGGCGAGACCAGAAAACAGTCTTCAAAAACATGAAGGGCTGTTACAAAGACGGGGCCCAACTGTTCACCTCACCCACCAGAGGTAGGATGGGAGTAAGGGAGATTTAAGTTGAATAGCAGGGAAAACGTTCTAACTCATAAGGAACAGGCGACCAAGGGAGGGGGTGGAATCCCTGCCATTGGAGGTTTTTAAGAACAAGGTGGACAAACACCTGTCAGGGCCGGTCCTGATCCTTGGCCCTTCCTCAGCACATGGCTGGACTGGAGGACTTCTCAAGATTCTGCTGTTTCTTATTCTATGCTGACAGCCCAGCTATGCTGCCCCGATTTTGACAGGAGCATGGACAGGACCTAAAACCAACCGCTTTTTTTTTTCCCCAGCAGGGCCTGGCCTCAAACACTTTCAGGAAAATATTTCCCCTGCATACGTGGTTTGGATCCAGCAGCTGGCTTTAATTTTTAGCAAGGAATGAACTGATGCACTGTTAGCTGCAGAACATTGCTCAGTAAGAACACTCAAAAGCCAAGTATCTGAGGACAGCTGGCTGGCAGCTGAGGCAGATTTCACAACAGCTTGATTCCAGCATTACAGAAGCTTCTTCTGGAACGGGGCAAGTTATGCAGAGTCCCTGTCTCTGCCTGGGTTTGTTTTTGGAATTGCCCGTTTACAAAGGGTTGGCAGGGGTCTGCTCCTCCACCTTCCACTACTGAACAGAGAGAGTGGCTCCTAGAGGGGATCAAACCCCTCACACGTTCACGGGGGCAACAAACGCATCACCCTTCGGGACTGGAGAGAGACCCGTGGGTTACAGTCAAGGAGCAGAGCTCAAGCCCCAGATCCAAATGCATCTGGACTTGGGGCAGTTTGGAGCGAGATCCGAGCATGGGGCAGGAACCCCTCCCTCCAGCGAAGCAGGTTCCACCCATTTATGCCAGGTCAGGCTGCCATCATCATGAGCTTCCAGAGCATCTTCCAGCACTGTTAAGAGGGCCTAATGAAGGCCTAATTGATACACAAAGTTTTAGTGTTGTAGCTAAACCGTTACGACCGCCCCAGCCCCCTACATGCTGGGATAGCTTACTCCCCTTCCCATGCGGGAAGAGCCATATCGGTACAAAGCACCTGACACTATATAGTCTGTCAGTCTGTCCAAGAACACTTCCTAAACGGTACGAGTTAGGACCACCAATTTCACTAGGCAGCCTCCTCTTACCACAACTTAAAGCAGGGTGAGGATTTGTTTGTGCCAGAAAAATGGGACGTGCCTGGAAGGGGATTGCTGCTCCTCAAACCTTACAGAAAAGGGGCAGAATCACCAGGTAGGTGAAAAGGGCTGGCTGGGTACATGCCTCTCCATCCAGGACCACCCCAGCCCCGAATCTCCCACCCTCCAGGCCCCCTTTAGGAAGGGTGGGGGGCTAAAGCTCCCCCAGATTTGTACAGGGACACTCCCCTTGCTCCCTGATGAAGGGGAACAGGCAGCAAGGTGCAGTTTGCTGCATTCCTCACTCTGCCTGGGGAGCACAGGGGGCAGAGCAGTGCACTCTGCTGTTGCTCCCTAAGGTGAGGAATGGGAAGAGCAAGCAGCTCTCCCTGGTATGGCTCGGGGTGGGGTGGGTGCACTCTTCCCCCACGTCCCTGCCCAGGGCCCCCCCTTGCTCCCCAATCCTGCCTCCTGCACCCTCACACCACTGCCCCTCCTTAAGGACCCAAGCAATGCCGGGTAAATGCACCAATACTGATATAAATGCACCCACGCAAGGGGAACTGTGCTGCTTTAACTCAACGGACCCCATCTTTGTGCATGGAGAATGCCTAAGCCAACAGGTGTCTGTCCAAGGGAGTTGCAAGGATT